AGCACATAATATTGGTTTGAAATTGCTCTCTCTCTCTCTCACACATACACACAAAAACCTAGAATATATATTTTAGTGTATGTACTGTTAAACTTAAGAGCTGTTCTTGTGATCTCATGAAGCCAGAGTATCACAGAAGAAGGAAGATATAAGTAGATTTTTCTAATTGAATTTACACCTATAAATACAGTAACAGTAGCTAAACTTTATGTTAAATGGTGATGGAAAAATAGTGTGCAGTAGCTGAACTAGTAGTTTGAAATAGCTGTAATTTTGCTGGTTAAGTACTTGGCTGCTAAGTGACCTACTAACATGTCTTTGAATGTTCAGTGTAAATGGTTTGTAGTTAGTAAAAGCAAGAATAAAAAAAACTGTTGCAATACAGTGTTATAAGAGTTTATTTGTAAATAAAATTTCAGTTCCTGAAGTTGTTTCTTGTTTGGTTATATAGTGAACATAATTTAAAAATAAAAAAATTAGGCAACTAATTTTGATTTTTACTGTGATTACTGAGAATTTTGAAGTTTTCTCATGCTTCTTTTAGCACACTTGCATCAAGTTTCATGCTCTTAATAGTTCTGTCAGTAAACTGGCATTCATTAATCATTACAGTTGGTCTAACAGAAATATATGGCAATTTTCAAGTATGTGTTCAGGGATGTTTATTGAGGTAAAATATTTTGGGGTCTGTATTACAATTTCATGAAACATATATAGGAATCTTGCTGTTTTTTAAAACTCTTGGAATATACATGTATGGTATCTTTATTACCATTATGTACTGATAAAGAACTATTACAACTCTCAGTTTCTGTATTATATATGGTTTTTACTTAACAGTGATGTGTAAATCACCAAATATGCCAAAAGGAGAAAGTAAAAAAAAAGTTTTCATCACAAATGTAGGATTGACTAATTTTGTAATAGATGAGCAGTACGTGTGTGTGTGTGCGTGTATGTGAAATATCAGAGTAATGTATTTTTGTGAATAGGTTTAATAAAGGTCTAATTTATGTCCTGTGTTAGTCCCAGAAGTCAACTGTGTGTAATATTTTGTTTATTTGAAACATCTTTGATTTAGCCGTATAATTGTCCTTAATTCTGATACAGTCTAACCCCCTCTCACACAAAGCTATCTTGATCTTCTTCCTGCTGCCTAAGCATTGTTAAAAATTTTAATGCTCAGTGAACCAGTCTATATACCCCACAAATTTTGTGCCATTTTTGAAACATGTATATAGCATGTGACCACCCTCCACCAATAGTATTGTGTATTAGAACAGATAGCTCCCTCTGATGTTCCCACTCAATTCCCACTTTCTTGATCGGCAAGGCATTGTATAGATGTGTCTTTTCGCATGTGACTACCGTTTATGATTGTGCTTTGGTGACATTTCAATTTTTTTTCAACAGTTTTGTTTCACTGTGTTTGCATTCAATTATTAATTTTTTCTTCTTATTTATTTATTACCGAATTACAAAGGAACTAAGAATGAATTCATGACTCAATGTATTGGCTATGGAAGTTCTGTTACGGTCGACAGGGTTACTGGTACAACTACCTAGGCATTGGGTTCAACTTTATTTGCAGAGGAGGTACAGGCCTTAATTTGCAAGGAGCTAGATTCATATGTTCAGCTGGTAATTTCTACTTCTTTTCTACTTTACAATGTTTCTGATGATGACTACTATCAAGGAAAAGACAGTTTGGATTCACTTTTTCTGTCGCCTTCTTATTTTGGTCTGTAACACTTTATGCCTCATTAGGAGATTTTACCTTCCTCTCCTTTTTTTACAGCTAGTTGATCATGTATGTGGTATATTATATTTCCTCTATCTCCGATGGTGCCTTATCATCCTTATTGGGTGAAATTCCATCTTCTGAATTTTTTGTTCTTTTCCCTTCTCCTGACATAAGGGTTCATATGCAGTGATTTATAAACCAACTGCAGACGGATGTTGGCATGCCCTGTTCCCCTTGCCTGTTGGATTACCATGCATTGGCATACCATAGCTCTTGAGAACCATATTTAGATTTTCAGCAACTGGATCCTCTCTTTCCTCTTTGGGGTTCAACTCCTGAGGCTAATTTTTAAATTAATCAGGCACAATTCTCAAAGATTTGCCCTTCACTCTTCTTTATTTTACAACACGTCTTCCCTCCATTTATTGTCTGAGGCTTTTTGTTGCTCTCTGGATCTTTTTTCTGATGAACTCGGGTCCCTCCTTTGGTCCTTGTGGCTTGATTACTGGCCTCTGACCTTTCCTTTAATACCTGGCTACTGTGCTTCTATAGAGGGTTGGGATGTTAACCTTGGCTCCCAGGAGATTTCTGGTCTCTGTCTGGTCACAAAGTCTTCTCTCCTTATCAGCATTCTCAAACTTGAGGTGATTCATCGAGCTATGCCCCACTTCTTCTCTTGTGGAGGAGGGTGGTTATGGTACAATCTGACAACTGTACAGTGGTCACTTATATTACCAAGCAAGGGGGTACCAAATCCAGTTCTCTGTGTTTTCAGATCCTTAATCTCCTTTTCTGGGCCCCACAGTCACCACCTTGTGGTCTTCTTACTATGTTCCTAATGCTTTGAATCTGGTTGTGGATCAATTACCTTGACCCAACAAGATTCTCCCCACAAAGTAGTCCCTTGATCCATGGGTCTTTTGGTAAGTGTGTTCATGGCTGGGGACATCTCATATTGATGTCTTCGCCACCTACTGGCACCACACCTGTTAGCTCTAGAGGTGGACTCATTCAGTCAAGATTGGAGGAGTCTTCACATCTATGCTTACCTTCCTATCCCTAATCTAAACCATTTCATGTGTAGTCCTCCTGATGAATCTGTTTTGGTTGGTGCAACCTTGGTTCCCACAGCTCTGTCCTTTACTTGTGCACCATCCCCTACCCATACCTCTGTCTTGGTCTCTACTCTGTCAACCTCGGTCAAACATCATTCATCCAGACGTCACCACCACCCATCTTCACACATGGCTTTTATCAGGTCTCCATGTGTTACATTTTTACTTTCCCAATCCATAAGATCTTCTTCCATGTGAATTTACTAAAGGCAGTGGTTTACCTTCTGCCTTTGATCTCTTCAATGTGATTTCCATCCTTCCTGCCCCTTTGTTCCTTATATTTCTCAATTCTTCACCTGATTGTTTGACAGAGGCTTGTCCACTTCGATCATGTTTAGCTATTTGGGTAGCCTTGTCGATCACCTTCCGTTTCTCCAAGTTTTAAGGTTTTGTCTTCCCCCTGTCATTTCTTTCCTTTTCCACACCTTTCTTGTGCTGTATCCTCCACGTTCCTTTGAATTGCCTGATTGGGATCTTAATGTGGTTCTTTATGCCCTTTTCCATCCTCCCTTTGAACCTTTATCAGTGTGTTCCATATACCATCTCTCCCTCAAGACCTATTTCCTTCTCCTTCTAACTTGTGGACATTGTTGTTCAGATATTTATACCATTAATCAGAGCTCTAGAAATGATTTTAGGTCCATGAGTATTTACTCCCTGAAATCCAACTCAATGCTGAAAAGCAAAATTTCAATGAGTATTTAAAACAATTCACCTTTTTTTCTCCTTAAAGTACAAATTCTTCTTACATATTATAAAGCCTAAGGCTTTGGCTCTTTGATATGTAAATATTTGTACCTTAAGGAGAAAAACTGTTACATGTACAAATCATTACCTTGACATTGCTTTGCCACATAGAGGTAGTCTTCTGTCTAAAGGTAGAAAAATGCCATTCTTTCTTAAAGTACACCCTGCAGTCTTATGCCACAAACTGGTCTGTTAGTTTGACAAGCCTGCTCAAAATCTGATATGACTAGCTTAAGTCTTTACATCACAGTTTAATGAATATGATAACTGAGTTTAAATTTGACTAGTATCTTTCACTTCTTGTGTCTAAGTCTTTTACAGCTCTGCCTCTGCTAAGTAATATACTCTTAGCTTTGACTAGATTTAAAAGATTCCAGCACTTCCTGTGTATGATTACCAAGAACTTTAACTATTAAACAGCATAAA